ATTTATATGATGATTTATTCACGATGTATTTAATCTGACCAAGATATCTCACTAGTTAATAAGCAGCTCCAATAAATTTTTGTTTGCAATGTATCGTTTATTTATATACAATTCATACAAAATGTTAAAAAGACTAAGTTTCTATTATCTTCGTATATTTATAAATATAGCAATAATTTGTTAACAATGTAATGCAATTTGTTAACAATGTAATGCAAAACAAATATATTTTGAATTTTTGAAATTAAAGTTATAAAGTGAAAGATCTTGTAAATTGGCAATAAGCAAAATACGATATTTGACATTATTAATCGTTGTATGGACTGCCGACTGACACATTAATACAAAATCTAATATCACACATATACGAAATAATCCTAATTATTGTATTTTATTTTGAAGCTAAATAAAAATATGTCATTCGGAAATATGCGTAAAACATTACTATTATATAATAATATCGTTATATTTTTCGAAAATAGAAATATGAAATTGTGATTAGAAAAGTTCGTTAAAAAATAAGATTTATTTCGTGTAACATTGGCATAAGAAAATAAAATTAACAGATCTATAGATTTCATATCTTTTTAATAGCAACCAGAAACAAATTTATTTTCTGTAACTGTCATAATTGTGAGAGTAAATGATAAAGTCTTTGCAAGAAAATTATGATTTCTAAGTTGATACTGATTATTTTCTATATACAAGAAATACAAGAAAAAAAATTAGAAATTTCTGTATAAATTATTACGAAAATAAATTAGCAAAAAACATAATGCTAAAAATTTGTTTATTAAATATATATAATGCAAAAAAATTTGTAATTTCTCAGTTTTGATAATTTTGACTTATAACTATAATAATCCACAGCCTAAAAATCATAAAAATGTTACATTTTACATTATATATGCTTTTTATATGTTAAACTAATGGCTGTGTTCTAATTTTCACTGCAAGTACTGAAAATCTATAATATACATGACCTAAACTATATATTTTCAGTACTGGCAATGAATATTGGAATGCAGCCCTCATCTTGTATTAAATTAGCATCAATTGTACATAATTTATAATAGATTCGCAGAAATTCATTAATAAGAATGCAACAACTTTTTATTTTTGTTTACTAATATTATTTTTTAAGTACGAATAAGAAAATACAGTCCATATATAATTACCTTTCAGCATTAATTTACCATTAATACTTATTATTAACATTATTTAAATTTATCAAAAGCGTGAAGGCAAAGTTTTACAGTTAAATCGAATATCAGAGACTAAATTATCTTGGCGATTCGCCATTTTTTCATTGAAAATTATTCTAACAAATCAATGTGTATGGTAAATTAGTAAGAACTCAATGTATTTGTTTGATCTGTTCACAAGTATAAATAACAAACTGCAAATCGTGCATAAAACGCCTTAATTAAACAATTATTTAGGAAAATATTTAATTTCATTATTTACAGAACTATATTATTAATATTGTATTATATACGCTATTACGTACTATTATAACTATAAACTTGTTCTTTATCACTGTACTGAATTATATAAAAACATACTTATGTTTTTTTCTCTTCAAACTTTAAACATATATTTATTTCAAATACAAATATACATTAGTTCAGTTATAAAGAACAGAGCTCATGTGTTTAAATGTTTTTCTTTTGCAGATTAGCAGTATTTTAAATTTGGTTCAGATTGTACCAAGACAATTACTCCATCTGTAATGCGTGTTACAAGAGCTGCTAAAATATCTTGATTGATGCTTCTTGATAATTTATTATAAATCTGCTTCTCTATGAAATCTAGCTTTTTCTGTGGTGAATGATAACTATTAGTTTGCACAGTAAAAATGTAAATAACCTCTGCTATTAACGGATTTATTCTATCGCACAAATTATGTAAGTCCTTTATTGCTTCTACATTAATATTCAATATATCACGAATCATCTACAACATATTAATTTAATTTAGGTAAATGTAAGTCAGGTCATATAAACAAAATTTATATTTAGGATATGCATACTTACCACAACCTTTTTTTCCTCTGGAGAATATTCATTCAATGTATTAATAATCTCGCCAGCATCATTTCCAAAATCTTTTGGATTAAATACCAAATGACTGTCTGCATTTAAAATAGTACGACTCACATGTGCCAGTTCATTGGCTAAACAATCCATTGTGGTTATATCATTTGCAAATAGTAAAATGATTGAAGGTTTCTTAGGATTTTTTGATACTTCTTGTATTGCAGATGAAATGTCATTCCAAGTATCTGATTTTTGATTATGAAATTTTGTTCTAATCCTTTCAATGAATTTATATAACAATGAAGTAGGATTATTTATAGTTTGTGTTTGTATTTTAAAGATATTAAATTGACTTAGGACAATTACTATTGCTATTATTGCTATGAAAATGTAGACGATATAAGAATTGTTTATATTTTGTATAAAATTTAATATTTTATAAAATTTTTGTAAAAATTTGTATAAATTTGTTTCTTGTTTAATAACTGGCTTGGTATCTTTAGACTTTTTTGAATTATTTTCTTTTTTTGGAGAACTAGAATGATTCTGCAAACCAGGATACAATTGTACTTCATTATCTAACTCATTATTATTTTTTATTAATTGCATCTGTTCTATGTTCTGATCTTCAAATGATTCTTCACTTTCTTCATTTGACAAACTTGGCTGTTCTTCTTTTAGTTGTAAACTTTGAGAATTATTGTTTAAGGAATTGTTTTCTATTTTTCTTAGAGGCCTTCGACACTTGGGGGACACTTTAGAGGGATTAAAATTCTGTAATAATAATACATCGTTTGTTTCACGAATAGTTAAAAGATTATGATACAAACTCTTAATAATGCTTTGTAATCAAAATTATATTTTATCAATATACAGATCTTAAGCAAAATTTTAACATATTTTAAAGATGAGCATTGCATGTAAATGGTGTTTTGAAAAATAGAATGAAAGCAACAAATAGAGTCAAGTATACAACAAATAGTGTCAAATGCATACAAAAGTTTAAATAAAACTCTGAATTAATATTGATAAATTTCATCATATCATATGTTTTACTTTTAAATCAACATTAGCATATAGATAAAAAACTATGAGAAGACATCTTTTACAATTTTATATATATCTTTTATATATTCTTATATATTTTTATATATTTATATGACAAAAAATAGAAGATAAATTGTAATACTTTGAAAAATAATTATTTAATACAACATAATGTCGTGCTATTCAGGATTTATAGTTTTGAGCTTACAATTGATATATAACAATATTCATAATTGTCTTTCCTACTCTTTATATCGCTTTTTCATAACGTGCGGCAATTGACCTCAGGGATGAGATTGATCTTTTACATTCTTACGAGTTTTTAACATAGCATATGCACGCACGCATGCATGCGCGCACGTTTTACATATTCTCGAAAGCTTGGAAACGTACGTGTATCTGTTGAGGATTACCGGCAGTGATATTAAAGACTGTTCAACAAGCTTCTTTTCGAATACTTTTTCGTGGCTAGGGTTGCCATCCGTCCTCTTTTTTAGAACGTCGAGGACGTACGAGAGAATTTTTTGAGAACGTCCAGGATAATTATAAGCGTTCGGAGTTTCAAGAAATTTTCTAAATATTTTGTTTTGATTCCTCTTGCATTACTCTACATTACCAAATAGCACATAAGGATGAAAATTTTTTAATTTTAATACTTAATAAAACTTAAATTTAAAAACTTATAATAAAATTTTTATTTTAAATCAAAATAGTCTATTTATTTTCCAGTTCAAATTTCTCTTTGCTCTGAATGCTAATGAACAATTAGATATGAAATAATGATTCATTTATTGTTCTAATCAATTTTATTAATTTAAGCGCATTTTTGTATACGTCCGGAGTTGCAATCGAAATGTCCGGGATTTTTGGCTTGTAAGTTTTGAAAATTTTTATCTTGCAACTCTACCCGTGGCAAACTTAAAAGATGTAATAGACACGGTAATGCCACGCAATTAATATCACGCGTATAATTTTAATTATGTCTAAAATCTAACAATTTGAGAAAGGTCTCGTTCCTACGATTATCACATATTGTATATAACTATCGAAAAATTATACGGTCACCATACATCGTTTATTTCAGATAATTGTTTTTTAGATTTTTTTCTATTTTCTCAAAATTTTTATCTTTTATTTTATGCAAAATTTTTTTCTAATTAACTTTTTCAATATCTATCATACTTATGAGTAAATTTTTTAAATAATATATATAAAATTTAAATATATATTAAATATATATTAAATATAATAAATTTATATATATATAATTTGTCTTATATTATATTATAATTTAAATATATATAGTTTGTCTTGTATATTATATTATATATTTGTAATGTATATTTGTATATTGTAATGTATACTTCTATATTTTTAATTTTTTAATTAAAATTGTTTAAGATGCGTTTTTATTTTTTATTATTTTGAACCTATTTCAAATTTAAGGTATTTTAAGAGTTTGTTCCTACAGTTGAATCAGTTTTAAACTATTTAAAACTGCACATCTCATTTTGATATATCATATAAAACAATTTCATAATGTGCAAATTTCTGACAGTTATAAACTGGTTTGGCTGTCAGAAATCTGCACATTATGAAATTGTTTTACATAGAAAACAATATGTAGAAATAAAGCTCTAAAATTGTCAGCTTTGTCTTTTGTTTTCTTGAAGAAGATATGGTCACCATATTTAAAAGCTACTTTTAATTTTTCGATAAAAAAGAATTCAGAATACAGGGACTTATAAATAGATTTATGAATGGAGTAAAAAATAAGATAACATGCATGAATACTGATATATCAATCCCAAGCTCAACATTCTCAATGTTACTATCAAAGATCTGTTTCTTTTTAAAGTTGAACTAGTAGACATTTGTTGTATTTGAAATAGATACAAATGAAACAGATTGAAATTTGATGAGTCAGAAAAAAATTTTACAGTCTAATGCAGAATAAAAAATAAGCTTCTGGACAATAATATGTATAGGAAAGTACATGGAAGAAATCAGTAAACAAAACGTTAAGAATTTAATTTAGAATTTAACAATACATTCAAACAAAATATTGCAATAAACTAATAACAACTTGTAATAATATTCATATCAAGCTACTAACAACCTATCAGTAGAAACAATATAATATTTTGATATGATTTTGTAATTATAGATAATTATAAAATCAGAGATTAAATTTATATTCTGCTATATTTACTGTTATACTTATTATTATAAAATTTATAAAAAATTGTTTACTGTTTTGAAAATCAATTCTGAAAACTTAAACTATGCAATATATGATATGAAGAAAAAAATTTTTTGTTATTGCATTTTCGGGTAAAGTGGAATCTAATCTGAGTTAGCGCACTCGCTTCTTTTCGTTCTTCCTTTTTGTAATTCATTCTATATCCATCTCATTTTATGTACAAAAAGTGGTTAGATTCCATTTCATCGGAAACGCTATTAATCGTAAACTCTCTTTGGGTCCTTTGTTCGAAACAAAATATTGGATAATTTAGCAAGCAATAATAGATTAGGAGATAGACAGATACCTCCATTTTAGATGTTTTGTAGTCAATGTGTTCATTAGTCTTCATATTTCATCACATAAGAACCTTGTTAGGACGGTCACAACTGATTATAATTATTCCTTTTTTTGTTTCGCAATGGCTACCTAAGTTGCGTTTCAAAGGGTGCTTTCCATTTAGAGCCAGTCTCATCAACTCCGGTTAATGCTATCGGCACAATTTAATCAGTTACGACAGTAAACGTCGGCACCATTGATGTTGAGGTTTTCGAAACACGTGACCTGTCGCGATAGGGTGCGTTCCTTTATTCATTCCGAGTACTGTCAGTACTACGAATGCGTTCCGATATAGAGTAATGCATTTCGAAAGTACTGCCTTGAATTCTATGATGTCATTGATTTGACGTACTTCCTGTTGCGACTACTGCAACCAGCGAGATAAAACAGAGCACAAAGATGGCTGCTTCCATGGAGCTGAAATAACCTTAATTGATGCTAAAGAAAATAAAGCGTATAATATAGCGTATAATGAAATAATATAATATAATGAAATTATTATAATATTATATAATATTATGTAAATTATTTATTATTATTAATTTATATATATATTAATAATTTTATATGTATATTATATTATATTTAATATATATATATATAATAAAATTATATTTTTTTAATATTAGATATACCAGCCATTATTTCAGTTGGAGCTTCAAAAAACATGCTGCAACTGCGTTCCGTTTTATAATCTTGAAGCAGTTAGAAAGCGTATGAAAATAAAACGGAACAATAGCCGCAGTACACTTCCATTGGTGGGGGTTCCGTTTGACCACGTTGCAATTGACTACCAGCCACTCATAGCGTTTGAATAGAGGAAAACTTCTAGGCACGGGCCGCTGTGAGTGGCTGTGATCAATCGCAACGTGGTCAAACGGAACGCTCTCTTTCCATTACGTCATAGCATGAGCGCTCGAAGTGAATAAAGGAATCCATAGAGTGCGTTCCTTTATTCGCTCCGAGTACTATCAATATTACGAATAGCGTTCCGATATAAAGAGCAGTGCACTACGAAAGTATTACCTTGAATTTTATGACGTCATTGATTTTGACGTATTTTCTGTTGCGGCTAATAGATATAATAGAAGATAGAAAATTAGAAAATAAAAATTTTATTATATTTTTTTGTATTTTTGTATTTTTTGCACTTTTTTGGATTTTTTATATTTTTTAATTTTATTTTTCATTATATTTTTTTACACATTTATCTTTATAACAAATATAATATGTGCACATTAAAACAAGATAAGATACAAGTCTTGTGCAGATGCAATGTTCTTTATAGATATTGTATATTATTTATTTAAACTTATTGCTATTATTATTATTATTTACTATTATTATTAGTATTTATTTATCTTAATGCATTTGATGAAACACAAGCAATTATCCTTTTTATTGTTGCATATTAGATGAAGATGGACCGCAATATCGTCTGCAGCATGTAGGTGAAAATTTTTCTTTTGCTTTACCGAAGAAGTAACATATAATTTATTTGCCGACAAAAGATAAATTTTTCATCGAGCTTCATGTTTAAAGCAGTTTCGTTTCTTGCTTTTAATGCTGACTTCAATACACAAATGACATTTACAGTAGTCGACGATAATCTGTTTCGTTTTTTTGTTTTAACATCTGTTAAGAGGGGAAATATTCTTTCCGGAGCTGCATTTGAATTTGGAAGTGCTACAGTAGAATTCAAGAAGGCTCTTAAATTAGGACATTTGGTTTCATTATTTAAATATTATAAAATCTTTGTAAAATCTCCTTCCACATATTATCAAAATTTAATTTTAACAAATCTTATTTCTCTGTTACTGAAAAATCTGAATTTAAGGCAAACCATTCTTTCTTTAAATCGTTTTCGTCAAAATCCTCCATTCTTGCAGCAATAAAAAAAGATCATGAAATGATATTTCCCTATTAGTACTCAATAAAGCTATATGTGATAAAAGAATTTGTAATTTTGATAAAAATATATCACTTACTGGTAATCTTTTGAAAATTTCTTCGACTGCAGTTATATAAAATCGCAAACAGTTCTCTCGAAAATTGCAACCATGTTTGCGTATCCATCCTCTATCAATTGATAAAGATATTCTTCGCACTCCGATCCTAAAAAAATATCATTTAAAGATTTATGATTTTCTGTCTTACAAAATGTTATATTTGGCAAATGTTTCAAAATTTCTGATTTTATAAAATTTGTACAAATTTCTTTTAAAAAAATCAATTGATTTTGACTGTAACAGATGTATCCTCGTTTCCTCAGTTTGGAAAAATGCATTAAATATATTTAAAAAAATGTAATGTATATTTTAAGAATAGCAAATATGCTTTTGTATCTACATTCTGCACGACACGTAACAAATTTTCTGCAGATGTACCTTTTTCACTCACGATCATTTCACTCAAAAAATGTTGTATCATATTCCAAGATTGAAAAAGTCTGTCGATACACGCGTAGTGAGAAAGCCATCGTGTATTACATAACTTTACAATTTTGTGAGTCCTTTCTTCAAAACATTCACTTAATTCGGTGAAAATAGACCATCGCTTGGGACTACAGGTTATATAGCTTGTAATTCTTTTCAAGAATTCCTCACACGCTTGAGGTATTTTAGCACACGCGGCATGCGAAGCTAATGAAGCAGAATGGCATGGACATGATAATGCCAATTACATTACTGCACATCTTTTCCAATTTTTTCTTGAAAGATAAATGTTTTCCGACCATAACGGACGCATTGCTGCATGACAAGGCAACAATATTTGAAAAAGGTATTTGTAGTTTCCACATTTCATATTTAAATGCATTAAACAATTTTTCCGTCGCTGCAATCTGTTGCATCGATATCAATTAATTTTACTAGTTGCGAATGAACTTCTAATGTTTCAATATAAACGTATCGAATGTGAAATGTCATCCATTTTTCACTATAAATATCTGTTGATTCATTTATAAAAATAGAAAATTTTGAATATTTTCTATCACACAATCCGTCTCAACTGGATATAAAACGTTCGTAATTATATTCGTACAGTTTTGTCAACTCATAATCATGCTTTTTAAAACGTTAGGATCTTTGCCTACGTCTTTAAAAAAATCGAGTATTATTTTTGCATTTTCATGTGAAATATTTTTTTTAGCGATTAAAGCAGCATATCGAATCTCCGCGAATTTTTTCCGCTCCTCAAAGGACGAAAACAGTTCGCTAATTTCTATGTTACAATCTTCATTCGATTTGCTTGTTATTTCATCAAACTTTTCGCAATTATTCTTATGTATTTTAGATTCGGCATGACGGTAGATTTGCGATAAACTGCCAGCAATAGTTTTTTCACAAATCGTACATGATGCAAATGAATTTACATCACTTGCATTTCGCGTAACCATAGCTTAAATTGCTCGGTCTCTAACCATTGCTGCTTAAATACATTCGGATGCAATGGTTTTTGTTCAAAAGTTACGTTATCATTATCAGATGATGATACATCTTTGTCAATTTTTTTATGTTGCGCAGATTCTACAGATTCTATCTTATAATATTCGATTGGACCACACGAAAAATTTTTAGCGCATACGATACAATGAAAAAGACTATCATCAAAAGGTAATTTTCGTATCCAAAATTTAAATCGCTCATCATTAAGCCAAGCTTTTGAGAAGCTTCATTTTATTTTTTTTTTCAATGCATCGCACGATTCATATTAAAGTGGAAATATAGCAAAACCAAAAATGTAAAACTTACCGATTAAATAGAGGTAGCCAATAAACAGAGGTAGCCAATTGCACTGATTAACTGCACTGACTAACTACACTGAACTATTTTAAAGCTAAACTTATTACAATTATTGCAAACACTATTATTTTTATTGACAATCTATACTTACTACGTAGACGACTCTTTTTATATTCCATCCGCTCTAAGCAACAGCGTAACTTGGAATAATATTATAATACGAATTAAATAATCCGTCATGAGGTGGCTTATAGGAGTGACCACCTGATGGGGAGGAGGGGGGGGAAAGGAGAGTGAATTACTCCATATTAATGAATGTAACTGTTGATTGAATGTAAGATTGACTTGTGCAAATATAAAAAATAAAAACAAATATATGTAAAAAGCCTGTTGCGTAAAATATATTTTTTAAATATTACTACCACATATAGCTTTATTGAGAAATGATAGAGAAACATCATTTCATGATCTTTCTTTTATTGCTGCAAGAATAGGTGATTTTGACGAAAACGATTTAAAGAAAGAATGGTTTGCCAAATTCAGATTTTTCAGTAACAGAGAAACAAGATTTGTTAAAATTAAATTTTGATAATATGTGGAAGGAGATTTTACAAAGACAATATTTAAATAATGAAACCAAATATCCCAATTTAAGAGCCCTCTTGAATTCTATTAGAGCACTCCCAAATTCAAATGCAGCTCTGGAAAGAATATTTTCCCTTTTAATAGATGTTAAAACAAAAAACGAAACAGATTATCGTCGATTACTGTAAATGCCATTTGTGTATTGAAGTCATGTGCCGGTCAGTTCTAAGAATCGGACAAGATTTGACAATGAAGGCACGTGGATGTTATTGAGAAATACGCGTCAGCGATTATTAACAAAGTTTAATACACAGATATTATCATTATCCATACATGAGCGATCGCGACTAGGACAACGGTTTTTATTTTGATATCAGGCAGCGGAGATGCGTATAGAACGTGACAACCTACGTCCTATAATAGTGAACTTCACACTATACATCGAGTCAATTTACAGAAATATATATATATATATATATATATAAATAAGCGATTGATTCCGACCTTCGCCAATGGAGAAGAAAGAACAGAGAGAGCAGCAACGAATCCGACCTTCCGCCGTTCGATCCAGGGCCAACTCCTTATCTCGTAC